AGTCTCAGCCGGCATTATTACGGTAATCTTTAATTATATTTACATTTAAATGATTTTATTATTATGAGTTCAGTTCTGTCCGATTTTGATTCATCCATTTTATTTCACAGTTAACCAACGCGATCTTCGCAAGCAACACGCCACGTCAAAGCAGGCGGAGAATCAAAAGAGAGGTAGTTTGAGTTGATGATAAATGAGGAGAATGTCTGACAATAAGCACAAAACACAGATTCCTTTATTAACTCACATTTCTTTTCCAGTTGGCCGCGAGAGGAAGAAAAACAAAGACAGTGAGTGTTGACTTCATCTGTGGGCATGTTACTAATCAAATAATACTGTATACTGAACTGCTGTTTCTTCCTTTTTAGACTGTGAATACAATAACCCGATTTACAACACGAGCTCAGACCAGCTCAACCGGCTGTAGAGAATGAAGGACAGAGATTTAAACTCCTTCCACAGTGAGGATTACTGATTTGTTTATTTTATTTCTTTGAAGTGATTCGTGTCTTATTGTATTTGTTTGTAGTATCACTGCACTTACTTCACTCCCTGTACTGTTCTTGTTTCTGAACTGTTGATGTTTGCATGCTCTTTTACTAAATTTCATCATTTATGGATTTTCACATATAATATATTTGCAATCTAAATGTACACACATTCAGAGATGTGTGTTACTTAAACTTAATAAAAGAACCTGTATGTACTAAATTTGGTTTGACTTTTATCACTGCATGTTAAAGCAGTTCTACGGTGCTTTCACTGTCAGCGCTTGTACCTTCTGTCATAGTAACAATGAGATTGCATTGATCTGAATCCGAACTTTTTATTATGTCACCAAGAATTGCTGCATCATTGTGAAAACTATTGCTAACTAAATAAAAGAGTGGCAGATCGTAGTGTTCTTTGCAAACACACACACAATCACACAAATGTTACTGCTGAGTGCCAACCAAATGCCTGATCCTCTAAATCTTCCCAAAAAACGATTCTGTTCATCAGGACGTAGCATTACGCAGCAGTAGAAACACTACTACTCTATGTCTCTCATCCAAGTGACCGGACATGCCCTTTGTTTCAATTTTAACAGTACACTTGTGAAGTTTGATGTAGGTCTCTTATGTGGTTACAGTGCTATTACAATCACAAACTGAAAACTAGGTTTGTGCTAGTTTTTGTCACCAGGACCACATTTTTCCATGATGTCAGCCTGTTAAACTTACAGGCTCAGTGCAAAGACACTTTAGAACGTCATATGCCAAATAGTACTGAATAAATCCCACTCCTATTTCCATAGGTAACAGAGCTATAATATACAGCGTAACACAGCTGAACAACAACACCTACAGCCACAACTCATCTAAGTTGAAAAACGAATTAATATAGTTGACACCTGGTTAATATACGAGCTCAATTCAATTTTATTCTTATGGCACCAAATCAAAACAACAGTAACCTAAAGCATTTGATTTCAAATGTAAATTATTATTCCCAGATACAGTCTTCAGTTTGCAGCCATATGCAGCATTAAAGCTGCGTACCACACTCATATGCCGGCAGATAGAGAAATGCTTTAAGAGGAGCAGGAGCAAAAACAAGAGAGCAAGAAAAGCATTGTAGAAAACCATGCGTATGAATTCATGAGCAAGTTGGTCTTGGCAAAGCATCATCCACGTGACTTGATGGCAAAAACAAAAGCCAACACATCACAATCTGAGCAATGCAAAACAGTTGACGTGATGAAGCTAGCTGCTGCTTAAAAGAAGAGGGGAATGCCGAAAAAACAGAATGGCAGCTGACCACACCTTCTTTATTTCTGTTAGAGAAACCATAGACAAAGCATTTTTACAAAGCCCATGAGAGAATTTCTCTTCCAAACCCAGGAAGCACGTAAGCACTTTCTTAGTTGGGGGGTAATGGATATTCAGTGGCAGCGTCCTTACATGACCCAACACAATGTTATTAAGTAAAGCCAGATCACAAAACCAGCAGGTGATAAATTTCACATAGTTTGTACCAACAGCACAGGTCGCACGGGTGACCACACTTGCTCTCTGTTTCACAGATCTGCCTTGGTGTGAAAAAGGTTTTTGCAACCCAACACGGCAGAACTTAGTTTGTGAAATGGTCTCAGCACTTTCCGTAACTTATGATTTAATGGTCCGGTTTGGTTTTGCAGTCACCTGACACATATGAGAGGTTCTAAAATTAAGTGAGGTAAAAATACTTCTAAATATAGCTTCAACTCTTACAGAGCCATGATTGATCAAGGGACATCCTCAGCACTTTAGTGGGTGCAACCACCTGAACCAATCTTTAATTTTTGTTTCATGCTTCACATATAAGGATTCTGATGACAAAACTGGGACGAAGATTTCTCCTTAATCAGAAGAAAGTAAAGGCCCAGGAGAAACAGAGACGTGACCATCAGCATCTGTGTTGCTCTTACTTAACGTGCTCATCTCAAGTTGAGTTTTATTTCCAACCACAACAACAGTAGTTCCGTCTACCGCTCAACCCAATTTTAACCTAATTCTACTGTTAACCTAATTTCACTAGATGCAGATGCAACAACAGCAGCCAGGAACCAGGAAACAAAAGCATTAACCCCAAAGGCACAAACTGACAAAAAAACAAAACAGGCCCAAAACAGCCAGAGCTCAATAACCCATACAACAACAACTCCCCACAGCACAGCCCTGTTCCTTTGCCTAACCCTAATCTAACTGAACCTCCCGCTTAGTTTTCAGGTGCTACTTAAGTTGGGTACTTATGCATTTAAAACCACAAAACTGGTCAAATATAAATGGCAAAAAACTGTTGTATCCTTGAATGTGTCTCCAAGGCAACCCTTCTAACCACTTTTAACATTACACTGTCAAGACCTCGCAATGAAGTCAAAAGGGAATTCCCTCTCACACCTAACAGCAATTTTCTACAAACCAAGTAGAAGCCTTAGCTCAAAACCAGGAAAATTCCCTGCAGAAGAGGGCTTATTGAGCAAACATGCAGCAGAACAAATCACATTCTGTTCTTCACTACAGCTGCTTCAGTTACCTCAGAACTAGAGCCCAACCGATGATCTGCTAATATATCGGTACCTGCATTTGCAGTGGCTGATAAATGAAATTGTAAGCATTTTATAAAGAACAGCTGGACGGGCATCCTTCAAACATGAGTGTTAATTTTGTTTTGATGTCTGTCCACCAGAGGGCAACAGGTATCTGTATCTCCACCAACAACATCCAGCTAAACCAAGGAGAGTTGAGCAGAGCACAAACTAGTAATCCATGACTTGTTGTGGCAGTAAAAACAAATACATTTTTAACAGCACTGTCATATTAATGATGATAAATAACTACACACAAAAATTATGGAAGCCTGTCTATATTTTGTGTGTTTGAAGGAAAAAACTATTGGCCGGTGTTGATATTTTTAAAAATCACAAAGAAATTGTATCAGTCAGGCTCAGCTTATAAAATCCTGCCTACTGCTCATCAGTCTCCCAAAGAGCTGGATTGTGCTCTTATCCCAAAACAAATCTGCACAAATACACACACTATCAGCAAACTACAATGACTGATCAACCATTGCAGTTATAGAAGTTGAGAAGTTAACTTATTCCATCCTTCGTCTAGTCTACAGTGCATTTGTCACAGACTCTAACTCAAGAGAAGATGGTAACTTAGACAATAAAATTCATTCACAAAAACATAAGCAATGTTTGTCAGTACGTTAGTAGTACAGTAGTATATGCACAAATGAGTATATGCACGCAATGTGCAATGTGTAACAAAGACAACAACAAAAAATCCAAGATATCTGCTACAGCAGATGAGTTTTAGTGTTAGTGTTACAATCAGAAAGCGAGAGGAAGGGAGTCTACAGGAAGAGTGGAGCTGTGATATACCAGCTCACTGGGCCAAGGTGTAGCTCATGCTCATGCATGATCATCCAGTAAGCTCAGAAAACACCAAAATAGAGTCACAGAGTGCCAAGGAGTAGTCCTAACTACTCTAAATGTTTCTTATGTAGTGTCAATAGAATATACAGTCTTTTGGATCAAGATATCACTGGAGGAAGATGGAAATGCAAGTATTAACATTTGCATTACCTTCTCATCTTTGTAAGTCTTTAATTAACCTCTTTACCTGAAATGCTAAATTTAACAATGATTATGCAATGTATTTTTTATATTTATGTTAAAATCATTTTTGTGCACCCTTTCTGTCAGTGGTGTTTCCATCTACAGAAGTAAATGTAATGACAACTCTTATAAGACAAAAAAAAAGACATAAGTTGCACATGTAAACACTTTAAAAATCCATTTACTGGATTTAGGCTGTCATATAAAATGTGATATATTGACATCAAGGTTCAACATTCTGCTAGAGGCAGCTTTAAAAAAGAAAAAAAAAAAAAGTCCCATGATGAAGATTACAGGGACATCAGCGCCATCTTTCTGCAGCTCATTTACAATGAAGTGTTTCTGGTGTCACTCAATCGGCCAGTGACACTGATGGAAATGAAGTACCTGAACTGTTTTGACTATTCAGTGTGCACTCAGTTTTAGTATTTGCAGCCTATGAAGATATGTCCATTACTGGAAATCTAATACTGGATTTTATGACAAACAACAGTAATAAAATGTCTGTAGGAAATTTTAATATATTAGATCTCAATGACATTTAAAAACAGTAATAGTACTAAAGTAAGTCATCTTAATTCCTAACATTTACTCCAGGATCAAAGAGAGAATGCAGTCACTGGACGCTAATCTCAAAACATAAATAATAACTTTTTATGTAGGAAACCTTACAATCTTTGGTGAATTAAGCAGTTTTATTATTATTAATAATAATGATAATAATAATAATAATAAGCATTGGGTGCATATAGGTAATGCAATAAGTCAATAACACTGACATGCCTCAACAATTTAGGCTTCTGTTCTGGCCATTTATGGCACCACCAGTGAAATGAAGAGCCTGAACTCCCAAATCATTGAGAAATTTATTTAAAAACAATCAAAATACAATTGCAGGTAAAAAAATATCCATTTCCTGGAATACCATTTAAAATCGATTAACTGAGAAACATGTACATATAATACAAAGATTAAGAAGCAGAACAAACATGGAAAAAGAATGATGAACTGTTAAAAACAAAGTCCTGAAGAACTATTTGTGGGTGAACGGATGTGGAGGGTTGAACAGTCGTCAGACTTTCATCCTTCGCATCATCTGTAAGTTTGAAAAAAAAGAAAAAGACAAAGATTAAACCAAAACTCAGGAAAATGCATTTCAGCAACACTGCTACAAAACAAGATTTAATAACAACTGAATATGGTAAATGGTAAATGGCCTGTATTTATATAGCGCTTTACTAGTCCCTACGGACCCCAAAGCGCTTTACATATCCAGTCATCCACCCATTCACACACACATTCACACACTGGTGATGGCAAGCTACATTGTAGCCACAGCCACCCTGGGGCGCACTGACAGAGGCGAGGCTGCCGGACACTGGCGCCACCGGGCCCTCTGACCACCACCAGTAGGCAACGGGTGAAGTGTCTTGCCCAAGGACACAACGACCGAGACTGTCCAAGCTGGGGCTCGAACTGGCAACCTTCCGATTACAAGGCGAACTCCCAACTCTTGAGCCACGATCGCCATAATCGAATACAATAAAATGTTGTTGCACATGTCAGAAATAAAAACAAAATCCTGTTCTGTTGCCCTTTCATAAACCACTGCAGTGTCAGATGTTTACCTTGCGAGCGCTGGCTGTCAATCCAGGAGACTTTGCAGATCTGCTGGCAGCTTGGGGAGATTTCCTTGATCCTTTCGTTACCACCTGAGGTGATTTAAAGTTTCCAGTTCTCCCGGCTTGTCTCACACCACCACGTGAACTCCCCGATGGCATTTTTTCCTGGTGCTTGCGTGCGCTCGTCTGAGCAGGCGACTTCTTCAAGCTGTCGCCTGGGGATTTTCGTGCAGAGCTGCGCAGCTTGTTCAGATGTTTCTTCAGGTAGTTATTGCTTTTAGGGGTGTTTTCGATGGTGAACATCATTGACTGCCTCCGCTCAGCCTGAGAGTAATGCAAGTGAAACTTAGCAAAGCGCTCAAAAACAAAGTTTTGCCACAATTTTGTGTGAGCTAAAATTACACTCACTGGGCTGAGGGCAGCACGAAGAGTAGAGCTCGAAGGACCACTGCTCACGCTCCTGTTTTTCGGGGTGAGTGGACGAGGGAAGCAGCTGGCTTTCATCTTTTTCTTCAGTTTGAGATAAAAAGCAAACATGAAGTTACATTTTAAACGTTTTTCTACTTATTTTGGATGACTATTCAATAACTATACAATATACTCTCCACCAGTAATAGTATACCACAGTTTCCCGTTCATGGTACTGTTCAACCAACCTCAGGTGAAGTTTGGTGTAGGGACAATGTGGATGAAGGCTGCTTTGTGCCTTTCGGGCTCCTCAGCTGATAGGAGCTGGCGGTCCTTGAGGGTAGCTGGCCTGGCATCAAGGACAGACGGTCGGAGCGAGTGCCGGCAGCAGCACCCACCTGCCCCAACATGAGTGACTGTCGATGTGAGATGAGGGAATCCCGCAGCTGGCTTGGAACCATGGATGCTCGGCGGATTGTGTCTGACGGGTCACCTGTACGCAGCTCTTCATCTGTAAAAACCAATGGACCGCTCCTTCCAGTCTAGAAGAAGAAAGAAGAAAGATTTTAGTGCATTCAGTATACAGACGTTTAATTAGGAACAAACACACTATCTGAGAAATGTGGCATCCAAGTTCTTCTCTTATCACCTCAGACTCAACAGGGTAGCTGCTCTTTAGGTGAGGCAGACAGGCCTTGTTCCTGGACTGGAGCTCCGCAATCCTCAGCCAGTCTTCAGGTCCACCATCAGGCTCGTTTTCTGCTCCAACGCAGAAGGTACTGGTGGCTTAAAAGAAACAGATGAAGCAAAACAGTTACACATACACACAAATCTCAGGTTTTACAGTTATTAGTTACTATGAACGTGCAGCTCCAATTTCAGCTTCCACCAAAAACAGTGATTCCCAAAGTGTGGGCCAGCGTCCCCTTATGGGCCACAAAGGTACTGCAGGTGGGCCACATCAGTAACAGAAATTTAGCTTGAAATCACCCACAAATACAAGTTACATACTTATATAAATTTAGTTATATAAAATGTGAATTATAACTAGTAAAGGGAGGTGGTTAGTAGAAATTATTTTAATTAAATAATCTTTACAATTGTAATAACTGTAATTATGATTTCTTCCATAATCAAGCAGCCCAAGTTGCTCCAACTATACAGTAATTGAATAATGCAATAACTGCATTATGAATAATGCTGTTTCTCTCTGAAGGCTCATTAGAATTACGATTTAAAAACTCCAAACTTAAATGAAGTTCCATCATGATTCTGCAACTCTTTCCTTTCAGGAGGGAAAACTGATCCTTTTACTCACGCTGTACATGGATGGTGCTCCGTCTGTACCCTGGAAGCCCAATGAGTTGGTCGCTGGCAGAGCTGGTCCTTCTGGCGGGAGTGTCAAACAGCTCCATAGACACGGGCCGGGCGGAGTTTGCATTAGCAAGGTTTGGCTGGGAGCGAGCTGAAGCCAGGCTGTAGAAGGTCTCATCAGCTTCACCGCAGCCCGGGGTCTTCTACCCAACAGAAATCAACAGTCACAACTACAGTAATACTTGGATGGAAGTTTTGGGATATTTAGAAGGGGAAACGTTGGACCCCTTAAATGTATTGTTAAGGTGCTGCGGTCAATTATTATGTGCTGCCAACAAGCAAGTGATGTACACAAAGATCTATTAGTCAACTAATCTTTTAGTATGATAGTTAAAACTTGAGACAGTGATTCCTTGTTAGAGAAAGGCATCATCAGAGAAATTTTAGAAACTGGTTAAACGAAACAATAACAATAATACTAGTACACCTTCATCAGCATAGTGACTAAATTACATAAAGAGTGAAGTTGAAACACCTGTAATTTAAAAAAAAAAAATACAGAGAATATTAAAAATGAACCAATTTTATCAGTGTGTATTATTGTGAACATGCGGTAAGCGTGTGTGTTTCCTCCACCTTGGTCATAGTGATGTTTATAACCTGTGTGGTTCTGCGGCGTTTGACTGACGAAGTTGGATTTTTTTGGGTTGAATCCATAATTTCCTCTGCACCGGTCCTGGAGGATGAGAAAGAAAAGGAATTTGAAAATGAAAGATTTTGAAAGCAATTAAATCAGTATTGTTTCTAATACATGAAATACAATTTAGACACAATTATCTGTAAAATTGTGTCCTATTCAGTTTTATACATTAAAATTACATTTAAGATCAAATGTTAAAGGGTCTGAATAATAAATTATTTTACTACAGTAACCAGGAAATAAAGTACTCACTCCTTAAAGGAGTAAAGAGTTTCAAAGTGTTTCATAATCGCACAATATTAGGGGACAAGATATAATCACTGCTAATTCTTAAATCTTGTCTTGATAATAAAACACGTCTTGGTAAGATCACAACCAATCTAGGGCTAAAAATGTGTAAGGAGCATGACCACAAAAGCACCTCTTGACTTGTCTGGTGTTTATAGGAGTAAAGTACAAAGTTTCCAGTGACTCGGCCTTTAGACCCCGGCGTTTGGCTGCCAAGCGTTCTGAACTGCGAACAAGTGGTGTGCTGGATTCATCGGGCGCTGAGAGTTTTCTGAAAAGGTTTGTTTTTAAAAAAGAAAGAAAACAGTGTGCATTAATCACTACCCCCACTAAATCTTTCCAAATCCAATGTAACACTTTCACCTTCCACACAGTGAGTGTCTGCATGTATACAGTTGTTTTTGTGAGAACTACCACAAAGGTGATATTCAGAATTTTGTCTAGTCTAGTTGTCTAGAGGGACATATTGTGTTTTGTCAGTACTACAGTAGTCATGAAACATAACAGGTGTGTCGTTGGGATTGAAAGGAAGTTTGAGGATGTGTGTAGGAACACAGAGTGGAGGCATGTCAGAATTTATGGGCCACAGCCCCTGAAACATGAATATCAATTTGTCATCCCATTTGGATTCTTTTCCATTTGTAATGCATTACTGCAATCATCGTGTGAGTCATGTAATGCATTTTAGTCCAAGAACACACTGACTTCAGCTGGAGCCATCCTTTACAAGATGGGCTTCAGTTATCTGTTACTCAAGTCACAGCTTTTAAAAGATTTTGCATCTCCTCTTCTTTAGAGAAAAACAATCTTTTAACTTTGTTCTGTGTGTTTAATTTATTTTCCCGTCTGTTTGGTGAGCAAGTCCTACAAAAAGATTCTGAGAAACCTTAAGCCAAAACTTACCTTGTGGAGTTTAGAGAGTCTTCCATACTGCTCTGGTCCAGGCTATCTGAGCTCATAGCTCTCTTCACCTGTGCTCTAGTGCAAACCCCCGAGTTTGAGTAAGGCACCTCAAAGAAACATGAGCTTGTTGCACTGCCTCCATTGGCATGAATCTTGTTCTGTACTCTTAAATTCTGGTCAGCACAGGCCAGCTGAAAGTAAAGAAATTGCGACAGAACAGGTTAAAATGCTAAAAAAAATAAAAATAAAAAAATGTGGTTTTAATTTCTTCTGTGTTTCTGCTTATTGTGTTCAATCATCATGCTTTAAACTGCAATACTAACCTGTGCCTCCAAGCTGGCCACCCTGTGTGAAAGTGTCTTCTCATTGGCTTGAGCCTTGTCCAAATCAAGCTGAAGTACTTTCTTTTCCATTATCATAGTGTGCATTTCACGCTCTTTAGCTTCAAGAGAAAGCTTGAGAGCATCCACTTCTTCTTGGCTTTTCTGGAGAAGCTGCTTCTTGCTGTTGTAATGATTTGCAGCCTTCTCCATCTGTGGTATTCAAAACACGTATCTTAATTTTCTAGTCCAGATCATTTATCTCACACACAAAAAAATTCTCATGAACAAAACAGTTATTATATTAAGAGATAAGCAGAAACAAAAATGATTACATTCTCAAACAAATCCAAACAGATGTTCAGTCACAAGCAGTAAAATATATTTTGTAACAGTTTCTGGTCACACCAACCTGAGCCTTGTAGTGTTCAGCAGCCTCTGATTTAGTGGCAAGCTGTTCCTGCAGATCTCTCTTGATTAGCTCAATTTCTTCTGCTTTCTCTCGCTCTTTCAGCAATTTCTCATTCTCCATTTTCAGTATTTCCAGCTCTTGCTGCAGTACAGACTCAAGCTTCCGTGAGGCTACATTCTCCCTCTTTAGGGCCAGGTTGGCTTGGAGAAGTCTTTCCTTCTCAAAAACTATGGCTTCGTGATCTTTTTCTGCCTGGAGTATTCTAACCAAAAGCACCTGTTTTTCTTGGACAAGAGTCTCCTTCTCTTTGAGTGTGGTAACCTGCATCTCCTGCACATTCTCTTTCAACCTGATGTTAGCAGCTTGTGTTGCTTCATGTTGTGTCAACTCTGCAGTTGCGGATGCAAGTTGTTGCTGAAGGAGGTTTATTTGCTGAGCAGACTCTTGCTGAGTTTCAACTAATTTCTGCTCTTTGGCCAGAAGCCTTTCCACCTCCTCCTTCAAATCCTGGATCTCATTTTGGAGAACATAGGTCTGTTTGGAGCTCTCCTGTTTTATCTCAGCCACAAGTTTCTCACTGGCTTCAGCTTCAGCTTTTGTTTTTTGTATCACGTTAGCTTGAGCAGTGACCTCCTCTCTGAGTGTGTTTATACTTTGGTCTTTATCAGCTGCAAGTGTCTTGACAACTGACAACTCTGCCTGAAGGACTTTAA